AGATTAAAATTATATTGTTATTTACACCTCTGATTAAAATATATCATAAAAATAGTTTGCAGTAGGGCCTTTAGTGTTATGAAGTAAAAGGATCTAAATATAGAATATTTGGAGTTCATGATATAAATCAATGGAGAAAGTTTGAAATATTTGTAAATTAAATAGTAATGAGGCAAGAATACTGTATAATATAAAACTGCATAAAGTTCAGAAGGTTTACTATATTAATGAAAAAGGTAGTAAAATGAGATATAAATTTTAAAAAGGCAACTGATAATCAAGACTACATGTTTTGGTGAAAAAGACTGGATGTGCTAGACTTGTTCTGAAAAGGTGTATTTAACAATATTTTTTAAAACCTCTGTTTCAAGTGTTTATTTTGAAGGTAAAGTTGTTTTAGCTAGGCAGAAACATCCTTATTAATGGATCTTTACATTCGAAATCAAAAGTTGCAAAGATCCATAAGGATATTTCTTAAAAAATTGCCAAATAGAGTTAAAAGTCTGCTCTAGTAAAAACTAGGGCGTCGTCTGCTAGTGTTGACACAACATATAAAGGAATGTATAGGCTATTATTACTACTGTTTTAAGCTATAGGGTTATAGAGACTAGTCCATTCTGATGAATTAAGGTGGTAGGTACTTTAAAAACATGTTAAAATATATAAAAGTTATATATATACACTTATAAAATAAAACTATGAAAATTCAATGTTAATTGAATTGTCAAGAGTGATGTTAACAAAACAGGAGGGTAATATAAATTTTTGGATAAAAACATGTCTGGGATAAAATTGTTTCAAGTAGATGAGTGCATTAGCTAAAATATTTTTATATAAAAGGACAAGATCTATATTGCACTGAGGGTTGTCTATGTGTAGGTTCCTTCGAATGTAAATAGTCTGCCTTGCACAGGATAAAATTATGTTTAGAAGCTCATTTGGAATGGATTTAGTAAAAGATTGAAGTCCAAAAAGGATAAAACATTTAAAATCATGATGAGTAAAACTAAAAGGTAAAATATCAAGCAACATTTGCTGAATAAGGTATATAAAAATGCTAAGATCAAGGCAGTCGACGAAGAGATGTTCCGTGGTTTCAGGCTCATCATTGCAAACTGGGCACATCTCTCCGTCGACTTTACCTATTCTTCTCAGTTTTACCATGTTCCATATGACATTATGGGCAATTTTAAAGTCTAAGTTGATCATTTTGGGTGTCTTAAAATTCTAAAAACATAGC